GCTTGCTGCTTCTGTGTAAAAGTATATAATTAACGAAATGAAGCTTACTGCTTGCTGCTTCTGTATAAAAGTATATAATTAACGAAATGAAGCTTACTGCTTGCTGCTTCTGTGTAAAAGTATATAATTAACGAAATGAAGCTTACTGCTTGCTGCTTCAGTGTAAAAGCAGCGCCAGGCCCCAACTGTATACACGTCCACAACGAGGCTGATTTTGGAGTACTTTGGGGTGTCAATAATATTCCTGTGGGTAAGATATTTTATAGTTTCTAAACTACAAATGTTGTCCAATTAATATAAAATCGAATCGGCATGTAAGATAAATAATTTCTACATCTATTTTAGTACCACCTGCACAGAGCGGATGATGTAAGACGTACCTGCAAGTTTCAATCAAACACAAAGATTCATTGTGCTTCCACCAAAAGTGTCCTTCAGCAATCGGAGAAAAGAAATGAGTAGACTTCAACTCGATAGTTGCTCCTTTGAAAACTCTTATCACATTGTCCGGTGTCAGAGACAAATCTGTTATATTATATTATGTGTATTAGTGCAAGTACACCCATACTGGACATCTTACTTCATTTATATACTTATATAGTCTGCATTTACCTAGTTGGTTTTATTAGGCACGATTACAATTTCCAAACTCAATATTGTCTGCATAGAGTTTATAACGCATTCATTCCTCTTCCAAAATATTAGCAGTCTAATTATTTGTTATTGAAATATTCTATGAACTGTCAGAACATAAGTCAACAGATGAAACTGTATTTAGCCGCTTCGTTTCAATCATTCGATTGTATTGAATAATTCAAAATATTTAAATATTTTATATATTGATTTGTTGGCTCGTCCTGAAATTATTTAAAAAAACGTTTAGTATGATAAGTTAGATTACCATTCACTTCAACTTTGGAGATGAAACTATACTCTTGACCAAGCGCGAAGACTATACAGGTGTACGAAGCATCTTCACTTAGAAGATCTAACCGCAAACTTGTGGATGTCGTGCTATTTTGTACAGTTTCGTTTCTAGTCTCTGCAAGAATAATCATGTTTGCAATATAATAGTAATACCAATAATAATATTAGAGGGCACCAAACAGTTAATAAGTTTCATCAAGTAACACAAAAACGTGGAATATAACCTTCAAATATAGTATTTTGGTGCGACCAAGCAACTGTCAATGTGTCAGTAGGAAAGAACACAGTGCACTTTAATACTGCTGGGTCTCCTGTTCTAACAAAATCATCGGTTGTGCTGAAATCAGAAGTAGAAATGTTTGGTAAATAGAAAAGAGAGAACTAATTGGTTCAAAATCATATTCTTTTAGTCTGCAAATTGTAGCCTAAGGTGCAATATCGGATAAGCTTCCCGTGTCCTCTACTACACTAATTAATCAGTAACCTACCGAACTGTGAAGGTTTTGAGAGGCACCAAGGTATCATGATATTGATCTGTTTCTCCTACTGTAATCCTACATGTGAATAGTTGATCACCTAACAAAGTCACATTAGCTGAAAGGGTCATACTCGACTCCTTCATCCCATCCTTTAGTGCTCCGTCACTGATACATTTGAGGAGTAAATAATCCAACAGTATCTACATTTTTGCAACAAACTATAAGGTATCAATGGATATATGATATGTAAAATTTTAAATGTTTTATCAAATGGTTCTGTAAACGGCAAGTCTACTGAGATGATTTAAAAGAAGACCTGACAGTGATATCAGAACTATCTGAATGATGAGAGAATAATGTTCCTCCAGAGTCCACCCAATGAATATGTACAGACTTAGCAGCTACTCCGTTTATTGAACAAGTCAGCGTGGCCGCAGTGCCTGCTGGCACATCATAGCTGTTCACGCTTACCTCTGAAATTTATACATCAAACATAAGTAAGTAAGTAGAATGTACAGTAATTTTTAAATTTTTACAATTTATAACCCGCACATGATATCATTTATCTGATATGAATTTTAGTTTGGCTGTAAGATATATTACAAGATTACTGTTAGCGTTTAAAGAACATACCATAAACGTTTAGGTTGACAGTGGTATCAAAGAAGTTGGAATCGGGCAAAGATCCGGAAGTGACTCTGCAAGTGTAGGCAGTATCTCCGTTCACAAGAATTCCGTCTACAGCAAGAGTTGATGTTTGTGTCCCATAAGAGTTACTTCCTTGGGTAGGGATGAGCTTATCGCCTGAAACTAGTCCTGTACTAGTTCGCCAGGTCACTGCTGCTGTATCTGTTATGCCAGTGATGATACACGAAATCGTTGCGTAAGAGCCTTTCTTCACTTCTGTGTTAACTGACTGAACGTCTGAAGTGAGTTTTGGTACATTTACAAACTCTACAATTTTTAACCGACGGATCATCAAAACAATTTCTTTGACTGATTTGAATGAGAATATTATATGGAGATTCGAGGTGAGATACAATTTTGTCCAGGACCACAACTCAAAAAGTACATTGCAAGATTACTGTTTATAGTGTTTAAGAAACATACCATAAATGTTTAGATTGACAGTGGTATCAGAGAAGTTGGAATCGGGCAAAGATCCAGAAGTCACTCTGCAAGTGTAGGCAGTATCGTCGTTCACAAGAGTTCCGTCTACAGCAAGAGTTGATGTCTGCGTCCCGTCAGAGTGACTTCCTTTGGTAGGGACGAGCTTATCGCCTGAAACTGGCCCTGTACTTGTTCGCCAGGTAACTGCTGCTGTTTCTGTTATGCCAGTGATGATACAGGAAATCGTTGCGTAAGAGCCTTTCTTCACTTCTGTGTTAACTGACTCAACGTCTGAAGTGAGTTTTGGTATTTTACAAAGTCTACAATTTATAAATGACGGATCATCAAAACAATTTCTTTAACTGATTTGAATGAGAATATGGAGATTGGAGATGGAATAAAATTTTGTCCACGACCATTATCGAAATACACTCTCATTATCGAAATACACTCTCATTATCGAAATACACTCATTATCGAAATACACTCTCATTATCGAAATACACTCTCACTGCCGTTTTAAAATTGTTAGCTCTCGTTATCGCACTGCTTATCTCTTTATAATTACACCGCTACTGCGCTGCTAGCTTGTTGTGCTGATCTTTACGATGGCAGATTTGGACTTGGAAAGTATCAATTACATGTGGAATGAGATGTTCACCTGGAGCAAAGAGACTCTGAAGAAATTTGGCAAGCCTTACGGAAAGTTAAAGGACATTGCGGACGCTAAGAACTTCAACAGACTGAATAAGCCGGAGATTGTCGATGTGTGTGGTCGATCTTTTGAGTATACGAACTATCTTATGGAGACCGTTGAAGCGTATAAGAATGTGTTGACCAGACTTCAGGGTCAGTTAATTGAGAAGCAAGAGCAGGTTATCAGTGTTCAGGCCGAGCTATCAGCTTGCAAGACTGAGCAACTTGAAGCGATGAAGAAAACTGTGTCAAGTTCAGTTGCTGATTCAGTGAAAGCGGAGTTCCAATCTTACAGCTCAGTCGTTCAAAGTTTGCCAGCACAGTCTCCAGTAATCAGCCCGGAAGCATTGACGTCTGTAGTCAAGACTATTGTTGCAGAGGAGGACCGCAGCAGGAACCTTCTTATCTTCGGTCTGCCTGAGGAAAAAGAAGAGAAGCTCGAATCTCAAGTCAGTGAAGTTCTGGAAACTATTGGCATAAAGCCAAAAGTAGAGGCTCAGAGAATAGGAAAAAAGAAAACGGTTGACTCAACGCGACCAGTTAAAGTTATCACCTCAAACTCGCTCATCGTTAATCAGATTCTGAGGAATGCCAGGAACCTGCGGCAGAGTGAGAAGTTTAAGACAGTTTTCTTGAGCCCTGATCGGTCTGTCGAACAGAGGAAGCTCCGGAAAGATCTGGTACAGGACATGAAGAAGCGGGCACTTGCAGAACCGACTAAAAAGTTTTACATAAAGGACGGGCAAATTTATTGTGCCGATGAGAGCAACGGTTGACAACTTTTTTTGAGTGCGTGTTTCGTGTGCTGTTTTGATATGTTTTGGACCATGTTTGTGAGGGACATATTGGTAGCTGTAGTTATTTTCTATACAAGACTGAATAGTCTTCAGGCTTTAGCTGAGCTTTAATTTCCGACGCAGATTTGTTGAGCCATTAGTCCATGATGGGGAATATAAACAATATATTTAACTCTTAATGGTCATAGCTCTACTTTTAATTTCATGAATCATACAGATTTTAAAGTACGCTGGTACGATTTTTATCTTATTAAATTGCTGTTCTATATCTATTTTAGTAAACATTAACTGGGGTAGTAAAACCCAGTTCCCAATCAATCAAATCAATCACCACAACTCAAAAAGTACATTGCAAGATATTAATGTTAGCGTTTAAGAAACATACCATAAACGTTTAGATTGACAGTGGTATCAGAGAAGTTGGAATCGGGGAAAGATCTGGAAGTGACTCTGCAAGTGTAGGCAGTATCTTCATTCACAAGAGTTCCGTCTACAGCAAGAGTTGATGTTTGTGTCCCATCAGAGTTACTTCCTTGGGTAGGGACGAGCTTATCGCCTGAAACTGGTCCTGTACTTGTTTGCCAGGTCACTGTTGCTGTCTCTGTTATGCCAGTGATGATACACGAAATCGTTGCGTAAGAGCCTTTTTTCACTTCTGTGTTAACTGATTCAACGTCTGAAATAAGGTTGTCAAAACGATTCGATTAAAGGTTGCTCTAGTGTTAATAATGGATGATGTTTGGATTTGTTTAGTGAACGATTTTCAGTCTTTATCGAAGTGTTAATTAAATTGATTTTAACCCATAAATATACAATGTATGGTGTCCTAAAAAGGCTCTATTGCATGTGATCAAGTGATGGATGTTCAGTATGCACGCGAGTTTATCTAAAGTTCATACAATTTTTTATCTACCAAGAAATTAGATGACCGGTATAAAATAATTCAAACAATCAATTGATAACTCACCTGGCGGACACCCAGAAATAACCTTTATTTTTTACCTGCAACTGGTTGACACGCAGAATTAAAGTTGACTTTTCTCACGTTACCAGTTCTGGGCTGACTGAGAATACTTCCCCAGGTAATGAACCGGACATTATCGAACTTCTTTTCCACTTCAGAACATCTGCCACCCCGATACATCTCTGCAACTTCTGTCCCGCTTAGTTCCTTTCCAAATATATTCAACTTCATCAGCTGTCCTCCGAATATTTCATGTTCACTTGGGCTACCACTATCATGACCCAGGAGAATGTAGCCCCCCTCTTCTAATGGAGAAGTATTGTCAACTCTGTATGACCCTACCAGATTTCCGTTGTAGTATACCTTTAGTGTTTCAGAGCTTGTGGACCAGCTCTGGCATTGGTGGGTCCATGTGTTGAGCGGCACTGAAACAGACACACTGAAACCCCTGGTGTGAATGTAGTTATAGCCTCCAGCGTCAGAGATGAGGATTTCGTATCCATGAGTACTTGTTGTGTAGGTTATCCAGGATCTGGCTGTCCCAGTCTGCTGTTTTTTAACCCATGAGCATACAGTCAGAGCGTGTTTAACATTACTCATATCAGGGTAGAATCTAACGTAATCACTGGCTGTGGTGCCGAATTGGAGTGATTGAGCTGCTACAGTGGGCTGGGCTATTTGTAGGTAGTGGAATCCGAATAGTAGGATTGGTAAAAGGTGCCGGAACATGATTAATTTTGAACCTCAGTTGTTTTGCGGGTATCAAACTGCACGAGTTACTTCACATCGTAACCTTGTTTAATGAGGTTGTCAACATATAGTTCTGGTAAAAATGAAAGTGATAAGTTACATTAAAAAATCTATTTAATTGTAAATTATCATTAAATATTTGTGTAAAGACACGCCCAAATGTAAAAAACCTGTTTAACAGTTTAAATCTCCACTTGATATCCAAATGAATCCGGATTCGGCCCGATTATTGACGGTTATTATCACGGAATATTAGCAACCTGAATCCGGATATGAAATGTAAAGAAGGGGGTTTAGATACCCTAATTCCCAAAAATTTGGGCGACAAAAAATTTGAGCGGGCCTCTCGCCCAAATTTTTTGCAGACCAAATTAATTGCATAAATCTTTTCCGTCTGCTAAATTTTTTGCTTACCAAACTTTTGGCATTTGGCCTGTGGCCCTGAAATCTATAGAAAGATGGCTTTTTCTTCATATATCCATAATGAAGAAAAATAATATTTGAAATTTTAGTTTTCTAAGCAACAAGCATTCCACGTAACTGCAGTTCAAAGAATGTGATGGTGCATATGTCTGGTTAATTAAAATTAGACTTGACCTTTGGTCCGGGTTTACAGTAGTTCGCTACACATAATTATGTACACCTTTGTTTCCCCCAAAGCTAAGCGTATGTGCCGCTTAGTTTGATAGATCATGATGTAAACCTTCTAATTTTCTTCCAAACCTTTCGACCATCTGGTGAGGCGTTATAATGATAATTGTATGTGAAAGGGGTATGATAAGATATGCTGAGTTTAAGTAGACTAAACTATCTGATTGAGAGACTAAATATCACTATTGTATATCTATCATTTTGTACTGTGCCATCATCACTGTATTTTTTAGTAGTTACTGGGCAGATCGTAAATTTCATAATGTGAAACAACTCAGACTACCACCTACATGCTTAAAATTGAAAGCAAAATGACTGGAATAATAAGAAATAATAATGAACTAAGGCAAATATCTAACTGAAATTTTAGTGGAAAATCGTTCATTTTTCGAAGAATTTGTGCCCAAATTTTCGGTCGCCCAAATGAGTTTAAATTTTCTGCCCAAATTTTTCGGGCTCAAATAAATTGTGCTCAATATAATGGCACACAAATTTTTGGGAACTAAGGTATATGAAATGTTACAACGGTTAGGACAGCAAGCTAATCCTTCGTAATACGGACCTCTCCCTTTCGAATGAGACGTCTGTTTTGCTCATGCTGCGCGCGACGACAGTCATGTGATAATTAATTACATCCAAAGTAACCAGTATGTTTAGTGGTTAACGACAGTTACACAGGTTTAAAATAGGTTACATTTTATTTGAATTCAGGAATATAGCGTATTAGTTGTTTAAACAGGATCCTTAATGTAATATTGTTATTTTAGTTAAAGTTGAAAGCCCAATGACTCAACCTGTGCTCAAGTTAAGCTACGTTAAAAACAAATTCCATTATGATATCAGCTGAGAAAAAGCCATTAAATCGTTGAAAACGGATTTTATTTGCATTTATATTCTGGAAGCAAATAAGATTACACCATGCGATGTGCTGTTAAGGAATCTTATATCAAATCAAGGGCTTGATAGTGCTGATTTGAATAAGCATCAAAATTTTGAATGTTAGAAACAAATATTAATTAGGATGAGACAAAATAACAGTCAATAAAGTTGGCACACGATATAAAAATCATAAGACATGACACATTTATATTTACATGAACCAAAACACCGCGCAAAATTTGAAGTGACCTACAACAATTCCTGATAAAGCTCCCCAGAAATATAGCGTCTATTGGAGGATTAACGTTATATAGCTACGGGAACACAGGTGGTCTAAAAAATCTAGAAAATTTTCAGAGAAGACAAAGATGAGAGAGTAACATATAAATTTAAGATATGCAACCTGTAGAAATCTATTTCTGCTGTTAATATTAGGTTATAAAACAAGTCACAATACAGTTAAAGAATGTTCTCTATGAGGATGATGAGTAATCACTCTTCACTCAACTGTCTTTTTGTGACTTTTTTAACCCGTTCTCTAGCTGGCCCTGAACGACTATTCGAAACCCTAACCCTCTAATCTCATCTCAAGAGGGGGCATGGGGGTGATTCGGAATCAGCGTCCAAAAAATACATCGATTCGAGTTTGTTTCAACTGTCGGGGCCCTTTTAGAAAAATCTCAAAGATCGAGTGTAAAGTGATTTAGCAAGCTCGTCAGCGTCTCTATGAGGCTTAACTGAAAATTTGTTCCACTGAAAAACTGTTTTGATATTGAAATAAATAGATTGCGTTATTTTTAAGGATTTAGAAGACTCAAGCTTCGTTGAGTGTTCAATCTTCAAATTTTCAACCGCTATAGAGTCCTCATGTTATAGGAGGGTACCGCTCTAGAGTCCTCATATTATGGGATCTATAAGGGAGGGCCGCTCTGCAGTCCTACTTCCGACCTTCACCGACCTTCACCGACCTTCACCGACCTTCACCGGCCTACAGTCAACCACTCAACAGTCCACCGCTCTACAGTCCTCATTTTAGGATCGTACCGCTCTAAAGTCCTCATGTTGTGAGATCTATAAGGGCGGCCGCTCTAGAGTCCTACCCTGGCGATTTGACACCGCTCTACAGTCCTACTTCCGACCTTCACCGACCTACTGTCCTACGCTCAACAGTCCTCCACTCAATAGTCCTACAGCTAGGAATACAAGGAATACAAGGAATACAAGGAATACAAGGAATACAATGAATACAAGGAATACAAGGAATACAATGAATACAAGGAATACAAGGAATCTGGAATACAAGGAATACAAATTTAAAATCTTAAGTTACAACAGTAACTGTTAAGATAATAACAATACCATAGGATTTAGATTTATAATATTAATATAATTTACTAAAACGAAAAATTTTGAAAATAAATATTTTTTACAGTCCCCTTGTTTAATGCTTGAGCCAGGCCACTTTGCGCTCGTTGTTGCGATAAAAAGACGCGAAGAAACTTATGTGTTATTCAATAACACATAACATTTTTATTGCTACAGTGTTAGTGAAAGTAAAAACACAATGAATTGGTACGAGATAGCGCTGGTACAGTGATGTTCAATTTTCATGTAGTTGTACCTACTGGCCAGAGAATCGACAACTTTCTTGCGGTTGTTAAAACACGTATAGTGGCAAATCTAGCAACTACTCTCGTGAGGTGGATTTGACTTTCGCCCGTGATCAACCCAATGATTTCACTGTTGTTGTTGATGAGTGAAGAGAATAAGATGCCGCAGATGGCGTGTTTGGATTTGATATGATTAAATGGATCTTGTCTAAGACCCTTCGCCTCGATGCTCATTTGACTGGGATAACGAGCTAGCATGCTGAGATGCTATATACACAATACTATAATAAGCCCATGTATATACAATAGTAGCTTATAGTGACATCACGAAAACTATGTCCTCTAAATCCTGAAAAATAGCGTTAGCAATTAGTTATTTATTTCAATATCAGTACAGTTTTTCAGTAGAACATATTTTTTCTGCAAAGCCTCATAGAAAAACTTTTAAACTGTAATTTGACATGTTTTGTAGCCTGACATCCACAGCTTTGTTTTTCAATAGATTTCTACAGGTTGAAGATCTTAAATTTATATATTACTGTCTCATCTTTGTCTTCCCTGGAGTTTTTTAGACGGACCTGTGTTTCCGTAGCATAATAACGGTAATGCTTCAATGGACGCTATATTTCTAAGCAACTTTATCAGGTTGTTGTACTTGTAGGTCACTTCAAATTTTACGCAATGATTTGTTTTATGTATATATTGCGTCATGTCTTATGATTGTTATATCGTGTACCAACTTTATTGACTGTTATTTTGTCTCATCCTAATTATTATTTGTTATTTCTAACATTCAAAATTTTGAGGTTTACTCGAATCAGCACCATCAAGCCCTTCATTTGATATAAAATTCTTTAACAGCACTCTGCATGGTGTAATCCTATTTGCTTCCAGAATATAAATGCAAAATAAAATCTGTTTTCAACGATTCGTTGGCTTTTTCTCAGCTGATATCATAATGGAATTTGTTTTTTAACGTAGCTAATCTTAAGCACAGGTTAAGTCATTAGGCTTTCAACTTTAACTAAAATAACAATATTACATTAAGGATCCTGTTTAAACAACTAATACGCTATATTCCTGAATTCAAATAAAATGTAACCTATTTTAAACCTGTGTAACTGTCGTTAACCACTAAACATACTGGTTACTTTGGATGTAATTAATTATCACATGACTGTCGTCGCGCGCAGCATGAGCAAAACAGACGTCTCATTCGAAAGGGAGAGGTCCGTATTACGAAGGATTAGCTTGCTGTCCTAACCGTTGTAACATTTCATATACCTTAGTTCCCAAAAATTTGTGTGCCATTATATTGAGCACAATTTATTTGAGCCCGAAAAATTTGGGCAGAAAATTTAAACTCATTTGGGCGACCGAAAATTTGGGCACAAACTCTTCGAAAAATGAACGATTTTCCACTAAAATTTCAGTTAGATATTTGCCTTAGTTCATTATTATTTCTTATTATTCCAGTCATTTTGCTTTCAATTTTAAGCATGTAGGTGGTAGTCTGAGTTGTTTCACATTATGAAATTTACGATCTGCCCAGTAACTACTAAAAAATACAGTGATGATGGCACAGTACAAAATGATAGATATACAATAGTGATATTTAGTCTCTCAATCAGATAGTTTAGTCTACTTAAACTCAGCATATCTTATCATACCCCTTTCACATACAATTATCATTATAACGCCTCACCAGATGGTCGAAAGGTTTGGAAGAAAATTAGAAGGTTTACATCATGATCTATCAAACTAAGCGGCACATACGCTTAGCTTTGGGGGAAACAAAGGTGTACATAATTATGTGTAGCGAACTACTGTAAACCCGGA